CATAAAACATATTCAATTTGTCGTGACCACCAAACCCCCCCCCCAAACACTTTTCTCATTGACTTTATGTTAATATGGATACAGTTAAATAAATGTTGATGTAATTATATTACATTGTAAGAGATGTTATTGTTTTTTTGGGCCACCTTCTATATGAAGCTATTTTTCTACTGTGCCAAACCAATACATAAATATAGATAAAATTTATGAGAATAGATTAAAAAAATACATGTTTTAATTAAAAACTGCAAGAACCTTGCTAAATATTGAATTTCTTTTGCTCAAAATATTCCATTTTATCTTTCATTTATTTATCTGACCACTGTCATTGTTTCAAAAATGTTTTTTCAAACTAACATTAGTAAAGTAGACACTGAGAAATTGACAAAAATAAAAATTACCTTGAAAAGTGTAGAGTTGCCCTTTGTTAAGGTATAGCTCAAGATTGACCCCAGGTCTCTATCAGTGCAAGTCAGTGTCACAATAGTGTAATTTACAAGCTCATTTTCTTTGACAGTTCTGACGATGTAGTTAGGGTTACAGACAGGGATCTCATCATTGGTGTCATTGATGAAGATAGTGATTGTTACATTGCTGGAATATTCACCACCTCTTTCTCTTGCCTAGGGAAAAAAGCAACATTTACAATAAAAAATATGTATCAAATAATATTTATAAAAATGCATAAATTATGTAGTTATAATCAATACAACATAATATAGTATTCAGTTAAGTAGAAATTTAAAAAATGAACCTTTAAAAAAAAAAAAAAGAATTTATAGGCCTATATGTTTAGAAAATATCACTAACATCAAAGAAATATTTATAGACTACTGACATATTTTTTTCATGACCTTGTGTTAATGCCAACAATTTATCGATCCATTATAAAATGTGTTTAATTTAAAACAGCCTTTTATATTTAAAGAAATCTTTATTTTAGATCCATTATAAAATGTGTTTAGTTTTAAAACAGCCTTTAATATTTAAAGAAATCTTTATTGTAACATACATTTTCTGTTGATTTGATGAAAATAAAATTCTTATTACACATATTTACTAAACTCCATTTCAACTTTTATTCAATGCAGTAAATTTAATCATGAAAACGTATCATTCATTAAAAATTTAATTTCTGGAGAAAAAAATTTAAAAAAAAACAACAAAGAACAAAATATGAAATTAATTTCCTACCACAACATCTAAAGTGTAATTAGTTTTTGTTTCAAAGTCCAAAGGTTTCCTCAGTGTAATGTTTCCTCTGGTGGATATGCTGAACTGGTTGCTTGGGTCTCCACCGGCGATGCTGTACTGAGGGTCTCCAAACACAGGGTCGTTGCCATCTGGATCTATTGCTGTCACATCTGCAGATTTTATTGTGCTAGTTATCTAAAATAGTTGGCACTAATTTATAGTACTTAATTATTTATTTATTCACTGGTTATAGTTAGCCAAATAATGGTGGCAGCAATGCATGAACTTCCCATCTACTGAAATTACTTGACAAAACATGCACTTCTTAAACCCACTTTATACGAATCCGAATTAGTGCTGGGTAAGCCATCACATAATTTTTTTTACACCCTTGAACTATTTTAATATTCTAATTTCCCATAACCTTTTACACCACAAATTTATAACATCATATTTAAATTGAGATCTTTCCAAACAAAAAAAAACAAAAAACAAAAAATTAATCACCAAAAAGACTTGCATTATCTTTAAGAATCTGGATTTTATATTTCACTCTATTTAATCCACATTACATGACACATTCTTGCCTAAAAACATACCTAGAAATTTATTATTTGTGATAAAACTATTCAGAATATCAGACAATATAAAAAAAAAACAAGTTAATTAAATAAAATGATTATCAAAGTTTTAATAGAGATTCAAACATTCAGAGATAAAAATAAAGAACTCTTTACCATTCCTAAAGTGCTTTAAAATATGATAAAATCTCTTTGTAAAAACTTTGTAAATCATTTTAAGTATAATTTTAAAATAGATATAGAAAAATGAAATATTGCAATAAACTGAAACATTTAATTAAGCAATAGCTCCAAAAATGATTGATTCTTAACCCATAATTATAATAATAATTCATACCAATAACAGGTAGTCCAACAGTCATGTTCTCCATGACATACACTTGCGGATAAGTTGGAAACAGTGGGGGCCCATCATTCACATTAAGCACAGCAACATAAACCAAAACTGTGGTGGTTAGTGGAGGTGATCCCCCATCTGTTACTCTTATGGTCAACAAGTGGGATGTAGCGTTTTCATAATCCAGTGATTCTGCACACAAAATAAGTTGTGTAATCTTGGGCCACCATATTGCAATAAGTGATATGAAAGATTTTGATTAAGTTAACCAATTAAATTAATGATGAAAACATTCTTTTCATTCAAATCTGTGTTACTGTAATTAGAGCACTTTTTTGGAAGTCACTTACTAGTTTTTAATTGAACAGTCTGATTGACAATGTAAAAATGGGTGCCTGGTGTCTGACTCAGATTATATGAAAGAGATGTTCCATTCTCAGCATCACTACAAGCCAAAGGTGGACTCATAGAATAAGGCCCAGCTGATGTTACAAAGAAAAATCTCATTAAACAATAGATTTAAAACAAGCAAATGACAAAATGTTGCAAGATGCAAGGTCTTTAAGATACATTCATCATTTTTTGGTCTCTTTCATACCCTAATTGTTATAAAGCATTTATTTTTTTTTCTGTAGCTCATAAATTATTAAATGTCTTATGTCTTTTCTTCATTATGTTATATAAAAATATAACAAAAATTATGTGTCTGCTGCAGAAGACCTATCACTGTCTTTGGTAAGCTTGATCTTGATTTATAAAACTTTGTATACTTAAATTATAATGTTGCACATGATTGGTTTACTTGAATAATTAAAAAAAAAAGTTATATATACCATTTATTCTGTATTGTCAATTTTACAATGGTTAATTTAACAACTTTTCCCTTAGTGCACTCACTCTGGGTCTCATTAATAATCCATGTGTATATTTCCTGAATACATTTTGGGGCATTGTCATTAACATCAAGGACACTTACTGTCACAGTACCTGTGCCCTTTAGAATAAAACATGGATTTTTTATTCATTCTTTTAAATAAATTAGTTGAACCAATCCTTGCTTGGGACATTCATTTTGTTAAGAAATGTATGTTAACTAATAAACATTAAGGTAAATTGCATAACTTTGACAGAGTTTCAAACTTAACTATGCAAACTAGTAATACAATTTTATCAGTAATAATTATGTTAAGTTGGAAACAGTGGAGCCCACAGCAGGCTTTCCTAAATAATCTTGAAAAGATAACATTAGTTAAGCACATTTCTTACGTTAATGAAATTCTTCAGATTTTTCTAATTTTCTAATCATAAATGAAGAAACTTACCATCCAACCCCCTCCATCTTCAGCAACAACATGAAGCAAATATGTCTTGTTATCTTTAGGCAGACTTTCATAATCCAATTCTTTCAGAAGACTGATATCTCCTGAGACTAGGTCAATAGCAAACAGGGAATTTATGATAGGGTCTGAAACAAAAAAATCAGAACATTTATTATAAATCCTCTTTGAATTTTGGGTATCTTTAATATAGCCATTTTTTAAAATCAAAATTGTGTTAAGATTTTTTCATTGGCCAGCTATTGAATCAATACAAGATTGAAATTAGACAAAAAACATACCTGATTGTAATGTGTAGTTGACAATGTTATGAGGGCTGTAATCACTATCATTAGCTGTGTAATTTAGGAACGGGTTGCTTATCCTTTTATTCTCAATGATTGAATATGTTGGATTTGCTACAAAGTTAGGTCGGTCTTCATTGACAGGTGTCACATTTATCCTGACCCTGACAGTTGTTGTGTATGTCCCATCACTGACCAGTATGACAACATCGTAAAGTTGAATTGATTCATAGTCCACAGCTGTTGAATCAAGATTTTTAATTATTATAAGCAAAAATGTTATTTGAAAAATTAAAAAATTACAAGTTTTATAAATTGATGAATTTATTACAAGGCACATTTGTTAAGAAATGGATTTGATCTTGTTGCGTATTTTTATACCTAATCCAAAAACTATGAAAGATTTTTGCAAAATCACTGAGGGTGAACAAAATCACTGAGGGTGAACAAAATCACTGAGGGTGAACAAAATCACTGAGGGTGAACACACTGAGGGTGAACAAAGCACACTTATGATATTTTCATAACTTAGAGATGTTTTTATTTTAGCAAATGAATACCTTTAATCAATGTCAGATTCATTGAAGAACTAGAATATCTAAAAATTGAGTTTTCTGGTGACTTTACAGTGTAGGTCAAATTGTCACCATCTTTATCTATGCATTTGATGTTGGAAACCTATTGCAAGAGAAAGTGGTATTTTATTTATTTGTGTTCACAAACAGTAATGTATGCTCAAAAAAGACTGACAATTTTAACTTTAGATAAACATCTAAGCTCTTGAAAAAAAAAGTACTGATAGCTTAGTAGCTTTGCTATTTTAATTGTGTAAAATATGGTACTTCTTTACTTACAGCAGAGAAAACTGATGTATTTTCTGGTAATTCAATTACACTGAAAAGTGGTGTACACTCTGGCACAAATTTATTGATGTTAGTTACTTTAATGTGAACCAGAACAGTTGTAGTTCTGCGGAGTAAAGAAATTCAACAGTTTAATACATATTAATTTCATATAATATAATGCAACTACATACATTAAAAATACTTTAAATTTGTACATTTATTTTCTGTCTTTTATATATGAAGAGACATATTTTTTTCAATCTTTATAACCTCTTGGGAAATTGAAACAAAGATATCTGTGAACCATAAATAAAATCACAACTTGGAGGTATTCCATGATAAATCTGTGCATTGTTTGTGGTTGCAGAAAAAAAAAGCAAACAACATCTATTTATTTATATAAAATAATCACATGTGAATACTTACTTTGGATTCACCCCCGAGTCTACAATGTCAATAGTTAAGTTATAGAAGTCCACTTTTGTTTTGTTCAGTAAAGAGACAGTTGTTATGTTGCCCACTGAGTCAACGTAGAAGATATTTCCAGTGTTTCCTCCTAGAAATAATTTAAAGCATGTAGTATGATATAGTCTAGTTATAATAATTCATGTTTGAAGTTTCCCATTTAGGATTTTAAAAATGAATTATTCGGGACAATGAAGTCGTAAAATAAACTAAAGAGTATAGCATACATATTTTAAAAACTTTAGTTGTCCTGGACTCTTGAAAATGTACACGTTATGGATTGGCCAAAAAGTTCTTATTGCCTAAAATATAATCATTAGCCTTTGCCTATGTATGAGTATGATAGTATAGCATAGCTAAAGGGACACCTGTCATTAAAGTCAGCAGAAAATGACATTTAATTTAATTCCTTGGCGGCCCATGATTTAAAAATTGTGGATCCCAAAACAAACATTATTTGGAGTTGAACTGGGCAGATGTCCAAGTACCTTTAAAAAAAAAAAAGAAAGAACGACTCACCACTGATGTTATATGTGAGAACTCCTTCAGGCCCGGTGTCATTGTCAGATGCAACTATGGCTGCTACAAATGTACCCACGGCAGCACCTTCAAGCAGCTGGATGAGAGGGAAGGAATGGAGGTTTCAAAATTCCACATTCGCCCGATTTTATTTTTATTCCAAAACAAGACAAACGTTTTAAAACATTTTCTTGAGGCCGAATCTCGGGCTGAAATCTAAACTACCCAAGTCACTTGACCTTAAGTTAAAAGTGGCATTGATGCTGACATCAAGAACCAAACCCACTCACTACTCATTAAAAATTAAATGCAAAACTTTTAAAAAATCGGCAGCATTAAAGCTAGAGTAAAAATCATTTTAAAATAAGGCTACATTCTTTGTAAATTCTAGAGCAGTGGTCAAAAACCTTTTGATATTAGCGTGTCAAAGTAAGACTTCTAATTCATTCAGCATGCCAATAAATTATAAGTCTACCATTTAAGACGCAGTTTTTTGTCATTTGTAATTATTATTTTAATTTTTCGCGTGTCGCTCTTAGCGGACCACTGATCAACAATATCAGAGTCCCCTTTTCCGACGATAATGTACTTGAGTTTTACAAAGCAGAACATGTAGGCCTATTTCAAACTTGTTTGCCAATGAGCTACTCAAAATGATGGACTTTGGACCAGCATTGGCTCGCAAGCCTCAGTTGCCGGTCCACATAGGGTTAAAATTTTCAGAAGATGGATAAGGGCGTAAAAAAGAATTGAATAAAAGTCCTCTGAAAGCCATACCGTTACATTTGATGATCCCGGAGAGCTGATGACAGCAGGTGAAAACTCATTGTCTGGTTGAATGCGGATGGTCAGTGTTGAGGTACCGGTCAGTTCTGGGACTCCTCCATCTTGAACAGTAATCTGTTGGGTTAAACGATAGTAAGTAATTGGGGGATGTGATAGTTAATTCAAGTTGTGACAGCATAATGAATGGATGTATTAATTCACGTTTTTAACTTCAAATCTTACATCTAAATGCCTCTGAAAGCCAAATGCCTATGACAGCTAAGTGCATCTAACGGCTAAATGCCCATGAAAGCAAAATGCTTGTGAAAGATTAATGCCTATGACAGCTTAAAGTCTATGAAACCAAATGCCTACGACAGCTTAATGTCTGTGAAAGCTAAGTGCAGCTAAATGCCTACGACAGCTAAATGCTCATGAAAGCTAAATGCCTATGACAGCTTAATGCCTATGAAAGCTAAATGCCTATGAAAGCTAAATGCTCATAAAAAGCTAGATGCCCATAAAAGCTAAATGCATATAACAGCTAAATGCTCATGAAAGCTAAATGCCTGTGAATGCTAAAGCTAAATGCCCATGACAGCTAAATGCGTATGAAAGCTAAATGCCTGCGACAGCTAAATGCTTATGAAAGCTAAATGCCTACGACAGCTAAATTCCTATGACAGCTAAATGGTCACGAAGGCTAAATGGCTATGAAAGCTAAATGCCCATGAAAGCTAAATGCCAATGAAAGCTAAATGCTTATGAAAGCTAAATGCCTACAACAACTTAATGCCTATGACAGCTAAATGTCTATGAATCATGAAAGCTAAATGTCTATGAATCATGAAAGCTAAATGTCTATGAAAGCTAAAAGCCTATGACAGCTAAATGCCTATGACAGCTAAATGCTTATGAAAGCTAAATGCCCATGACATTTAATGCCTTTGACAGATAAATGCCTTTATGACAGTATGACAGCTAAATTTTAAATGCTTATGATCAAGTTTAATGCCCACTTTGACGACAGCTACGCGATGAATGCAGCATATTTTTTTTATGTAAAAAGAATTTAAAAGTAGTCGCCATATTGATACATGAAAGATATTAATATTGGTTGTTTGTGTAAGAAAATCGGTCACTTTATGCTTTATGGACCTCTAGCTGACTCTTGCATGCATGTATCCATCGTCTCAGTATCCGTACGAATGTCCAGGTCATAGCCAATGAATATATATATATATATATATATATATATATATATATATATATATATATATTATATATATTATATATATATATATATATATATC